CCCTGTAGTTCCCTTTACAAGGGTGGCTTGCATTTGGCATTCTTTACATTTGCTGCCAAATGCAAGCCATGCTGCTTTCAGCCTGGCTCAGATCCACTTGATGCCATGTGACATCAGGCGAATGACAGATTATCAGCCCAGCCCTCGTGTCAAATGGGGGAGGGGGGGTTGGCTGCAATGTGACCTGGCCCTCCAGCTAAAAATGGTTCCCCACCCCTGCTCTAAAAGGAATATATCCTTCTTGTATCTTGCCATTTGAAATAATAGTGAACCTATAGCACCTAACACAGCACAGCCTCCTTGCCTTCTGTCTTAATACAGTGCCTAGCATTCAGGAAGGTTGAATGCTTCTGCAAGCTCATCATTCTCACACCTCCCTGCTCACTAGACAGCCTCCCTTCTCACCCCACTATTGCTTCCTCCTCATCCTGTGACTGGGGAAAGTTAATAAGGTGCCTGAGTTGTGAACAGGTTGCAAAGGTGTCTTTGCTACCAGCTTAGTTGGGAGAGCCAAGCAAACTTAAGCTGCATTTCTGATTCCCGCAGTCTCAGGGTGGCTGATTTCTCCCCTCCTCCCATGTTTGACAGGAATGATTGTGAGGCCTTCTGGGAACGTGGGCAGCACTGTGCGGCACAATCACTCAGATTCCATATGAGAGACAATCCTTTCACTTGTTGCGCAATAAGCGAAAGCAAGACTATGTGTCACACATGAAAATGCTTTAGGAAGCTTAGGATCACGCTATGATAAAAAGCTATCATCTTCCATCGGTCTGCTTGGTAGCTGCAATGCATTCCAGGATGAGGAGGGGTGGGAGTAGGGGAAGGGAAGCAACACAACTTGTATACAATCCTGTCCCACCAGATGTCTCAGCAGAACAGTCTCCTTTTGCAAATCCATCGATAGGGAAGGGAACAGACAGCGGAAGCCCATGTTCCATTGGGATGCATGACACCACATTCCTTTTCAGCACCCGTCTGTGGCTGTCCTATATCCCAAAAACTAGAAAAGAAAGAGAGGGAGAGGGATTGTGGAATAATTGTTATCAGCGTAGAACCGCCAACACCACCACAAAGCTCCCAAAGGCTGGCCAAAATCTTGATATTAAAATCTAAAAGACTGGCTACATCACAAGCCTAGAATCTGGTTATTTCATTATACTGAACACTGATGTCCCATGTCATGTCCTAAAGGTTACCTCCACCCCTTGCATTTCTTCAGCACACATGGTTTGAAGCCTATGGGAATGTGCCTCAAGAAACAGTCCGTTTTTAACATGTAAATACTTTGAAATGTACTCACGCTGTAGATATAAGCAAATCGCCTTCTTTCCACCTCCACTTTCCCTCCTTTTCGTTGTAAGCTGCACCCAGCCAGTATGTGCTTGCACTGTGGATGTTATCTCTCAGGAAACCCTGGGATGAGAAATAATCTAGGTTACATTTGAACTGCAATCCTAAAAAAAGTACTAGAGCAGGGGTGGTGGAGCTTCTGACCATCACCCAGGTCCAGACCTCAAGGCATCTGGATCCAGCCTACAGAGGTCTCCTCAGGCCACCCCCTTCTCCTCACTAAGGAGCAAGTAGAAGGCAAAATGCCACTGAAATCAGAGGGACGCATTTCCAATGAAAGATGGTTAACGAAAGGAAGGGCATATTTCCTGCCACTAATCTATAATACTGGAATACTTCTTTTGAATGGTACAGTGGTACCTCGAGTTACAAACGCTTCAGGTTACAAACTCCGCTAAGCTGGAAGAGTTACCTCGAGTTGAGAACTTTGCCCCAGGATGAGAACGGAAATTGTGTGCCGGCGGCGCTGTGGCAGCAGGAGGCCCCATTAGCAAAAGCACGCCTCTAGTTAAGAACAGTTTCAGGTTAAGAACGGACCTCCAAACAAAGTTTGTAACTAGAGGTACCACTGTAGAGTCAAACTATGCAGGGGAAGTGTTGTACCATAATGCCCTCAAGGTGTGTTTGGAGGCAGTGAAAGCTAAGGAAACAATTTTTGGCAATACAATTTTTGGAGGGAGAAAATAGAATCATTTTTGAAGGGAACTAGCTTACTAGGAAATCTGCTGCGGCTCCCCCCCCCTCAAGCTTTCTTAATAGTACCCAGGGAACACCATGCTAATGGCAAATACCTCACAAGGAATGGTGCTCCACCTGATCAATAGGAATGGGCAAGAAATTCGGTTCAGTTTGCATTGTAATGTGAGCACACTTAATTTGCACTTCCTGATACAAAAAGTGAACCAAAACATAGCTATATTTCAGAATTTACACTTCTCTGAATTTTGTGTTGCAGTTCTCCATCGAAATATTGTGTATAAAAATGCATCCTATTTGTGCATAAAATGCATATATTAATTAAAATGGCCATATAAAATTGCATTGTATTAGAAAAAAATGTTTGCTAAAATGTGTATATTATGTAAGATTGCACCCAAAAATCTGTAGTTCTGATAAATTTTCATGGGGATTAAAAAAAAAATCACAAACTGATGCGACAATGTGCAGAATTAAACTTAAAAGACTGGAAAAAATGAGAAACTGTCAGGAACAAAAATGGGCATGTCTGTCCATTCTGAATCATGATGATGTAGGAAGACTAACCTGTTCATCATCAGACCAAATGCTGACCAAATAAGCCCTATTATAAATGCACTGCCACAGAGCATCGGTCCAGTTTTTCGCCTCTTCTGAAATGTAATAGCAGTTCTTCTCTTTAGTCTTCCAGTCCTTGGGGCATGGATGAGAGTAATTTCTGCTGCTACAGATGAATTCTACAAAGTAAATGTAGTGCAACACTCTATTAACACTGTACCCTACTTGGGGACTTCAGAATATACAGCAGCAGCAGCCAGCAATTAAGCCTGTCAATGGGCTGCCATGTTCCGAAGTCATGGGGAGAAAAGCTGCACCCGGACTGGGCCTTCAGGGCTGCGGCGACACCTCCTTCTCACAGCCGGCAAAGGGATGCCTGCACCTGGGTGGAACTCCCACCAGCTGGAAGCTGAACTTTCCCCAGCCCACACCAGTCCGTCCCCAGCAGGGAAGAGAGCCACCCGCTCACCTGAGACCTGCAAGTGCCCGCCCTTGTGCTGTGCGGCCAAAGAGAGATGGCTGGGGAAGGGCTACACTTGGCACTTTGGCCTGTTCTCCACTACCCTTCTCCTAGGCCTGCAGCAGCTGTGGCTCCGGTGCTGCTGGGGTGCTGCCAAGCCTGCCAAGGAGTGCCAGTCACTTCTTCCACCGGGAGTTCGCTGAGCTGAGAGGGGAATGCAGTGGTTGGCAGGGGACCTCCATGATGAGCGGCTGCAGCAGGGGCACAGCCAAGTCCACCCGTGGCCCACATGACGCCCACAATTAGGTTAGGGGGCACCAACTTTGACATGCCCTGGGAGCTGCCAACACATATTGTGCCACTGCTTCCCCCTATTCTGGAATAGGCAGAGGAAGCCCAACGTGGATTGCCTGGTGGATTGCAACTGCTCAGATCATAATGTGGGCAGAACTGGATTTCTCCTTCCCTTTTGCTACTACACTGTTCAATAGGAATTCTCCCTTCTCTCCTACCTTCCTAGTGATGGCACTGCCTGGGACTTCTCCTATGTTTTTAGACCCCCAGGATGACCAAGCCAGAAGGAAAATAATCAAGATAGATAACGTTTCCAAGGATGTCTCACCTGTGACATCCTGCAGTTCACTGAAGTTGTTGCTTATGGTTCTTTCCATAATCTTTTGTGCCGCCTGCACATCATCCAGGTCCTTCTTCACTGAAAGACAAATCAAAATGTCCACCCAAAAAAGCAGTGTGTTAGGGCCATAGGCTGCCATTCCTGCTTTGCTATTGATCTAGTAGTGCATTAAGAGTTCAGACTGTCAGTGGTGATGCCACAAGTACCGGTTATCAGCTGCCGCTGAGTGGCGACTGCAGTCCAGCATGACTGGGGCCTGTGCTGGGGGCCATTACCCTGCCCTGCACAGCCATTGTGGGACATCTCAGCCTCCACTTTACATATTAAAGAGCCATACTACCTACCTCTCAGCAGCATCTCTGATTGGTTCAAGTGCAGAGCTTGTATCTCCTCTGATAGTCCAGAGTCTGAAGAAAGAAAATTCGATTTTTTGGGTAGTTTTTCTACTTTTTGTTGTGCTGTCAAAATAAACCTTGCTTTGAACCATATCCTCCTTGCATATAATCTGATGGCCCTCATCCATATGCTGAATATGCTTCAATTGGGCCAAGGGATTTGTTCTTTAGACGTTTCCAGTGGCAGTAGCAGCAGATTTAGGCAAAGGCGGCAGATGCTAGGTCACTGGGATGCATTTATCACTGGCTTCTTCCAGTTCAGGGTGGCTTGGAAGGGAGAGTGCATTGGAGAGCAGTAATCTGATACCTGGATTTGAGAACTGTTCTGGTTACTTAACAGATGGCTGTATTTAAATGTGCATTAATTGCCATGTGTTTTTATTAGTATCACATTTTCTTAAGTGGGTTGCCTTTGAGAGCTATAAACCACTTCGGTATAGATATGATATGTGGAATATAAATGTTGCTAGATAAAGAAACATAGTATCAGATTTTATTCATTAAAAAAACATAAGCATTTTCAAAAATCTGATTTTTAAAAAAAGTGTTTTAGAAATCGCTTTCAAAGCTGAGCCCATTCACAAGTGGGAGCCAGGTGAGAGGAACAGTACTAGGAACAAAGCCAAAGGGAGAAAGGTTAGAACTCACTCATGCAATCCCAGGAACCAATTATAGCCATGACAGAATCATAGAATTGTAGAGTTGGAAGGCAACCTCTGCAATGCAGGAATCTCTGTCCAAAGTGGGACTTGAACCCACAACCTCAAGATTAAGAATCTCATGCTCTACCGTCTGAGCTATCCCTCATGGATAGTTTTCCATACAGGGCAGTATGCCTGGATTTGTGGGTCCCCATTTCTAACCCCTGCAGTTTCTGACAATTCCAATTTTCCATTTTCACCAGAGATGGGGAATCAATCTACAGTCCTCCAGATATCGTTGGACTCCGCCATCCCTGACCATTGGTCATGCTGGCTGGGGCTGATGGGAGTTGGGATTCAACTCAATCCGCATTCCTGATTTATACAGACTTCCTTTCATCCGAAGTGGATCACTTACACTTCACCAGGACCAAGACGAGTAGCGCTGACAACATCACAAAGCAGATGGCTACCAAGACATAGAGGATGGAGACATGAATTCTTCTGCTGTTTTTCCTTTGCGGAGACTCAGCATTGGCAGGAGCTGTAGAAGTGAAGATTAGTGGAAGCGTTTTATTTGCAACATTTAAAAAATAAATAAACAGAAGGAACAAATGGTGACCTCCCCTTTTCAAATGAATAACAAAGGGGGTCAAAGTCATGTAACATGTGTGAGTGAAATAGTGAGTGTGCATGTGTTTGTGCACAATCACAGCAAGGTTGCCAAATTCTATTCTGAGTTCCAGGGGGAGACAAGCTGTCTCTGTGCATAGGTTGGGCCACCTCAACTGAAAAAGGAACCACATAAATTGGGAAACAACATAAATGAGTCTGGACAATGCTCCTTTATTTAAATTTTATTTTTTATTTTTACCTGTTATATAAGCAAAGGCTCAAAATATTAGATCTTTTCATGTTGAAAAAGTAATGCTGAAGGTGAGGGTAAATCAGTACTAAACCATCTAAAACATTTTGCTTTATGCTTGGTTAATGCTGCTGTTGAGGACAGTTGGACCAATCTAAAAGGAATGTACATACATTTTATACAACCAAGGCAAATGAATATTAGAGGAACTGTATTTGTCATTGTAAGCTTCAAGAGTCAAAAGATGCTATCTAGAAATACTACTACGTCTGGCCAATGTGATTAGCCTCCTGGACGACTTGACTGGCTATAACCTGGTATTGCATAGTAACCATAAGCCCTACAGCTGATTATGGTACACGGTGTTCTCTGATTCTCTGATTTCTGCAACTTCTCCCCCACCTCCACCCTGCAATTCCACGTAGCAAAATTGGACTTTAAATAAGGAATTGGGAACAGAAAGGAATCGGACTTTAAAATTTATTACAATTTGGTACTGAAACGGGAAGGTCTAAACAGGAAGTCAGCCTTCCGTTTCCCTGTAGACTGAACAAAGCAAAGACAAAGTAAACTAGAGCTTTGAAAATCACCATTAAAGGAGTGGATTTCATCATCTAAAATAGTTGAACCCCCCCCCCTTCGGCAGCAGGAGGAGAAGGGGGAGCTTTCTTTGGACTGTTTTAACCTGCAGAAGTAAGTTTAAAGTAAAGTAATTTTCCACCGTCTTGACCCTGGAGCGGGGTGTCAGGACTGACGTTTGAAGCTCATTGACCAGAGACAGAAGTCTTTTGACAGATAGCTAAAAGAAGAGAAACATTGTGATTCCACTGTTTCCTTTCGCATTTTAAAATAACAACTATTGACAAAGTATCTTAAAAAAAAAAGAAAGAAACTTTGGGGTTGGATTTGCAATAGAAGTTTTCCCCCTAGAGGGAGACTGTGAAATTGTAACTAATTCTAGGGAGTTTCCAGCCGCTACAGTATAACCCGTGGGAATTGACTGGTGACCTTTACAAAACAAATGCTCTATTGGAAGAATTACATGAGAGAATGAATTTGATGACTGATTTGGTTGGAAATCTTAAGCAGACAGCGGGAAATTTTGGAGAGGCAGTAGGAAAAGGTATGGAGCCTACCCAGGAATCAAACCAGGAGTGTGCCCTGACAGAACAGACGAAAGAAGAGGATGCTGCTGAATTTTGGGAGCCAGAGATGGAGCCAGAGATGGAGGAAGTTGCGGCCCTGCAGGAACATGAGCCTTTGGATTTGACAATTGATCTTCGAAAAAATCAGACTCGGAAAGATAAAGTTTGGACTGGTTTGGAAATGGGGGGTTGGATTGACCCCCCTGAGCAGGGATGTATGGACTTTCCGAGTCTGGCAATGGGCCATGAGAGGTTTGGAGATATGGGGGCTCTAAATTTTGGAGGGATTTTGAAACATGCTTTTAAGTACTACATGGAGCTCAGTTTGGACTGTGGAAAAGGGACTGATTGGTTGAAAAGGGACAAAAGCATTATTAAGTTGGAGTTCACACGAGTGAAAGGAGAATATGAAGAAAAATCGTGGAAAGGACATGGAAGAGACTTAAGGGCCTCGGATATAAGATTACCAGGTTAATGTGCTAGCTCAATGGGATAAAATAGACTGACAAACCCGGGACCAGGAGGAGGGGACGCTGGATGAAGATTGGATTGCTTTATTTTTTCTTCTTTATTTTGTTACTAGGACTGTCTTACATAATTGATGAATGTTAGATGGATGTTTGAAATGAAATTGCCTGGCTTTAGTGTAAAGGTTTAAAGGATTAGGAAAGAATACAATGGTTATGAGAAGTTAGTAAAAATAAGATTTAGGTTTTGAATTATAAGTTTTTTTATAAGATAATGAGGAAAATAGATTAAGGTAATGCAATGAAAGATTAGGATAAATAAAGTGGGGAAGGATTTGCTGAATTAACAAATTGAATTGGAATACAGGAAAGGGAGGGGTGAGGAAGTCCGGGAAATAAGCAAATGAAAGTTAAGTAAAGGAAGATGGAATTGTTTTTAACTATTTTTTTTATTATTTTTTTGTATTTTTCTTTTTTCTTTTTGTATTTTGTAATATTTTGAAAATTTCAATAAATATCTATGAAAAACGAAAAACAAAATATGAGTTGTTCTACTGAGCTGAAGCCTGAACCCCATGGCAGTGTAAAATTATACAATGCTATAAAGATTATTGCTCTTTATACCAGCGTAAATGAGACAGAATTATGGTCTGGTTTTGTGTGGGTTTGTCTGGTGACTCAGGGAGTTTCCTTCTTGCTCTCTGTGAACCTAATTGCAGATTTCATAGAGTTATGTAAACAATGAAACACCTGTGAGAATTTACACTGTATAAATATTGGAAGAAGTGATGTAGGATATCCAAAGCAGCTGCTTAAGAATATGCTCATATTTTAACGTTAAGTGGCTAAATTAATGAGATCAGATTTATGCCGTAGATCAGCAAAGATGAGATACTACAATAATATCAATATTCCCAATTCTGTGTCCACTGATGCTAAAGGAAAATGGAGGCGATGCCTTTGAATACCGGTTGCTGAGGACCATGAACAGGAGAGAGATGTTGCACTCGTTACCTGCTTGTGACCTTCCCAGAGCCACCTGCTTAGCCGTTGTGGGAGTCAGGATGCTAAACTAAAGAGATATTTAGTCTGATCCGCTAGGACTCTTCTTACGTTTTCGTGAAACAGCTTTTCCCAGTAACAAACTAAACATAAGCAGGCTTGTGAGGAAATGAATGTGGGGTTTTAAAAAAATATTATTATTTGCTTTTTATTGTTAATCTATTGGCAGTCCCTATTAGGCCCTTCCCTCCTCCCCATTTCTCTCTTACGTGTGTGTGTGTGTGTGTGTGTGTAGAGGGGGGTAGAGGACCGAAAGGAAAAAGGAAAGGAAAGCCAAAGCAAAAATGTATTTATCTATGGATAAAAAGCACGTGTCACACATAACACTTCTGATTTGCAGGTGGAACACAATCAGGGTAGTCCAAGTTGCATCTAGATCATCTGATAACCCAATCTCCACACTTCCATTCCCCCCCCCCCAGATTCCAGCACCTCATATATTATTCGGGAGCTGCTTCCAGCCTCTTTCTCCTCCGTGGCCATGCTCAGCTCCGTGCTTGGCCTCCTCAGGAGGTCTTTGGACTTGAGGGGAGCCCCCCCCCCAAAGAAATTGGGGCCTCTGACCAGTGATGTGGTTTGCTGCTGCAGCAGCTGGAAATACTGTTTAAACATTTTACTAAATGTAGACATTTCCAGCTACTGCAGCAGCAGCAGTGTTCTCCTGCCCATCTATCCCAGAATACATCACTCTGAGGAAGGACTCCTTTGGCCCTCCCTCAGTGAGGCGGGACGATGTGGTGGCCAAGAGACCTCCAGTGATGCTCTCACAAAGCAAAAATGGGGGGAGGAGGAATGGGTCTTGTGGTGCATCGGTTCTGCTAATCCATGGCCCTCCAGATGTTGTTGGATTCCAGTTCCCATTATCCCTGACCACTGACCATGTTGGCTGGGGCTCATGAGAGCTGGAGTCCAACAACACTGTGGGGGAGGCGGGCAAAGATTTGCCACCCCTGTCCCAGAGGAGTTTTACTGCCTGTTTATTATTGTGCTCCAAGAATTATGTTACTGCAACCTCCAACCATAAGATATAGACCACCTTCCTACATGGTGTGGAGCTAACTTTCCAATGTGAGGCACAACCAGGGTGTTGAGGATGGGTGTGTTAAATGTGAGCTATGATTTGAGATTCTATCGTGCATTTGGTTACACAAAAGCTAACCAACACAGAGGTAAGGGGGGAAAGCCTTGCTTTGACCCAGTTGTGTATACATAAAATCTTGAACCACAATTTAGCTGAGTCATCACACATTCTAGGGCTGTACTTATCTGTGGAATCACATGGTGCCTCCTTTGCTTGGGAAGTCCCCTCTTTGTATATGATCTTGCTCAATATAATTAAGGATTTAATTGAAGTCTTCCCCATAAATGATAGTGGTGTTCTGTAATTGTGCGACCTTTGCATGAATGCTGTCAAACCCAAGGGACCCTCAGTCTTTTGAGTATAACCATTAATTAAGAGATAATTATTCTCATCCATATAGATATTGGGACCTCCATGAGGGGTCTCTGATTCACATCTGTGAGTTACTTCTGGCAGGAGGATTGCTACTGCCCTAGATTTGGCGGAGCACCCTGTGCCCAATGCTCATTCTAACCAGTCTTTTCACAACCAATCCATCTCAGGAGCTTGGAGGTGGGTCTCCTGAAGAACAGCCATGTCAGCTCTTTCCCAAAGTACCTGCTGATACTTGCAAGTTTCCCCTAAGGCTGAGCCCTTTATGTTAAAAGAAACTGTATTTAGCCCAGCGGTAAGATAGGATGGCTACAGGTTGAGTGCACACGTCATCTAGATGCCATTTGGAATACATACCACAATTCGAATTGCTTGTCGCTTCATCAGAAGGAAGGGCATTGATACTTGAATAGCTTGGGCTGTATCCAGGATCAACGACTACACAGTACAAATTCAGGAGTTTGGGATTAGAAACAGAGAGCACACCACAGACATACAAAGTCGGTAAAACTGCTAATGTGCACGAAACATGCAGAATCACTCCCTTTTTCCTCACTCCACCATGATGAAATCCACCAACTATTCAACAAGTTAGTAGAGGGACATAGCTATGCATTCCTCTCTTGTGAAATGTGTCAGTTTCAAGCTGAATAGTCAACAATTTTAAAATGAGTCTGTAAGAGCTTGCGGTTAATTTAACGCATTGACCACATTCTAATTTGGACCCCAAGAAGTTTCACTAAAGTTTCAAACTGTGTGAGCAGGTGGAGCTCCCTCTACATACCATATTAGGCATAGCTCAGTTCTTGAAGGCAGCTTAGTGAGGGAGAGCTGGTGAAGTTTAAGGGTACTGCTGCACTGTAAGAAGAGGGCATCAATTTAATGGGGCAGCCTTTGTCCCATTTGTCCAGGAGCTCATGTTTCACACTAGCTGCTTGACAAACAGCAGCTTATGTTGAGTGAAATAAGCTACATTTA